ATAATCTTCATTGATATTCTTTGTGGCTACACAGGCGTTGTTTCTCTTCTTGTATTGAAATAGCATTACATGCTGAATGTGTGTCTCATCTTGTGCCATCATTATAAGGGAATAGAGTATAGTAAACTTTACAAGTTATATAGGCTACACTAACATGACATTTAGGAGGTTCGTTTAAGTATTATACACGATGTACGTTTTTTTTTTGGGGGGGGGGTAATGAAAGTGTTCCAAAACACGACATTAATTTCTTGACGACCTAATACACAGAGCTTATTACATTGTGCATATAAGTTACTTAATCATACTTATACTGAAAATAATCTAAGGAGTTTAATGTTTAAATGACAAACACATATTGGTATGTATGTGAGTGTACCTACACATACACATGTGTTTGTGTTATGACAGAAAGCTGACAGATGTAGTTGAACTAAAAACTTTATTGCTGTATATTGGCTGAAATTTTGTATGTTTGGTGCAATAGTATGTATTATAATTTTTATTTGTATTTATGATAAATTTTATTCCTGCATTTCAAATCTTTGGGAGCATTATTTGTGTAAAGTATTTCCTTGCAAAGTTTGAGTTAAAATTTAAAAAAATTCTTAATTACTAAACATGTACTAATAAATTATGTCATCATCAGTAAATGTTTTTCAGTTAAATAAAACAATTTAATAATATTAATGATGTTGTTTTATCGCAAAGCTACACAATAAGCTATCTGTGCTCTGTCCATGGCAGGAAATGAACTCTGAAATTTAGCATTGTAAGCCTGTAAACATACTGTTGACCCACCGAGGGACTGTATAAGTGAATTCTGTGATCATGAAGAAATACTTTTCTCAATTAAAGACAATGCTTTGAGTCTGCTCTTACAGCAGTGCACTAGCTGGAAAGAAGAGCAAATGTTAGCTGGATGTACACAATGTATGTTTAAATTTGAAGAGTTGTGAGTACTATCACTTGACTGTAGTAGTTTGTAGTTGGAGTATTTTATAGGTTAGCATTTATCGTGTATTTGTACATATTTTAAGATAATAGGATTTGAATACTCTTTAGTCTTTTGTTTTAATTAATTGTAATTTCACTATTTCCCAGACTCACATTACCTGTAGATATTAGTTTTGATAAGTATTTTTTATCTTTTTTAAATTTGAAAAAGCTGTAGTAATTTTTTAAAGATCTGCTTTCAGTAGTAAAAAATATTTCTTTAAATAAAGTGTTTGTGTATATCTGATTTCATGTTATGGTTTGAAAAGTTTGAAGATATAATTGTTTTAAATGAAATGTTTTACAGATGAATTTGTAGATGGGGATTTGTCCAACAGTAATGTGTCATGGAAACAAGGTAGACAACTTCTGAGGCAGTACGTAACTTTTAGAAGTGGCAACTTTTTCAGTAAACGTATTTGTGTATACATTCATTTTTACACATAAGAAAAGAAAAAAGAATAATCGTTTCTTTTGAATGATCTGTTTAAAATTTATTTTTAAGCTGATTCCTTTATTTTGAGCAGCTTAATGTTTGCCTTAACTTTTAAGACACTGATGCTGGTGCTAAACCTAATTTCAGCAACTTTTTTTCAAATTTAAAATCCTGAAATCATAACATTCATTGATATACTATTATATTTTTTTATGTAAATACTTGACTGTGTAATTTAAGTTTTGCATTTAAATGCACTGTCTGGCAAGTGTTGTGAGACAAATTATAATATAAAGAAAAAACCAACCAGAGCATTCTCTATAATTAGTACTTTTAGAATGATTAGCATGGTTAGACAAGGCTGTACAAACACTGTTGTAAAATTATTTAATTCTAATTGTTTATGTGTTATATATTGTTGAAATTGCATAGATAAATTGGAAATGCAGTTTGACTGTGATTAGGTTTTAGAAGATGCTGGAGGATTATTGAAATATCAGTTAGGGGTTAAACAGCTCAACATGCTATTTATAGACTGTCCCATGCTATGCACCAAAACTGTGTGTTTGATTAATGGTTAAGTTTCATTTTACATTTTATAGAAATATGAATTTTATTGTTGTTATTTAAAACCTTACATAGTGCAGTAGGATATCCTCATTTAAATAACTTTTGTGATATTGTTTTGTAGCTTACACTTAATGTTCAGTTGTGTTATTAACCAAAATCTACCTCTTACATTGGTATTTAGAAAGTAAATAAAAAGAGATAACTTTAACCATTATATGAGTTTCTTACTTCAACTGCTGTACAAGCTGTGTAAGCATTTTGCTTTTAAAGCAGTGTATGCTAGTTTTGTGCTGTATAAATACTTTGCATTTGTGTATAAGTGCAGAATGGATTTCCATTTATATACAAGGTATAGAACAGTTTTATGTTCTGTATGAAGCATGGAACAGTTTTACATTTGTATGTGAGGTGAAGAACAGTTTTACCTTTCTATATAAGGTATAGAAGAGTTTTATTTAATGTTTGTATGTATGTGAGATATGGAACAGATTTACATTTGTGTAGTAAGGTGTGGAAGAGTTTTGACATTTCTGCATGAGGTGTAGACCAGTTAGATATTTTTATGATGTATATAACAATTTTCTATTTCTGTATGAGAAATGGAATAGTTTTATATTTGCATATGAGCTAGAGAACAGTTCAACATTTGTATATGTGGTATAAAATAGTTTACATTTGTATATAAGGTGTAGCACAGTTTTATGACTTTGTGAATATTTTAGTTTGCAAGTTATTTAAATTATAATTTTTTTCTGTTTTAGATACCTTCAAGAGATTGGTTATACTGATACTGTTATTGATGTCCGATCATCACGAGTGAGAAATTTATTAGGCTTAGCCCCACATCTTACAGAATCTGACGAGAAAAAAAATACATCCTTAGTCAATGGTGAACAATCTCTTAACAGGGTCACTGACACACAAAGAAGGTTGGTTTGATTAAATTTTACTCACAGAAAGGCAGTGTAATTAATTTTTTACAGTGAAACTCAGTATAGTTAGTTTTTACAGAAAGAAAGTCGTTACAGTTAGTTTTTACACAGTAATAGTCAATATAGCAAGTTTTTATGTAAAGGTCATTACAGTCAATTTTTACACAGTAATAGTCATTATAGCTAGTTTTCACATAAAGAAAGTCATTGCAGTTAGTTTTTACACAAAGAAAGTCAATATAGTGATATTTATGCAAACAAGGTAAACAGAGTGCATTGTACACAAGCAAAGAAGTGTAGTTTAGGAGTTTAACATAAAGTTGGTCAGTATAGTAAAGGTTACACAGAGAGGTAAGCATAGTGAGTTTCACATAAATAAGTTTAGTATAATGAGTTTTATGCAGAAAAGATAGGTATAGTATAAATGAGTTTTACATAAATAAGCTTGATGTAACTAGTTTTCACCAATTTGCCTGATTGCATTCTATATGAATATATCTAGATGGTAGTTTTATTGTTATTGCCATGAACTGTATAGATCAATTTATATACCATTCAGTTTATAAACCGTAAAGCAAAGCAGTTACTAATTCATGGCTTCACTGGCATGAAGCTTCCACAGAAATGTTATCTGATCATCATAGCTTGTGATAATATAACACACTCTACTGTGTGATGCCTTTACTTCTGGGATCAGAATTTATTCCCCTTAAAATATGTGTTTTATGCTTCCACTATGAAACAGAACAGGACATGTTTTTTCCCCTGCCATCCATCTTTCCTGGTCATGTGAACGGATATCTGAAGATTGGATGGATGGATTTTGACCAAACTAATACAACAAGTATTACATAAAGAGTTTTATACATAATTAGCTTTTAAAGATCATAGATAAAAGGGGTCAATGCCAATATGGAACATAGGTGTTTTGTAAACACAATTTGCACTTGTTAATGGTATAGTTGTCTTGTACAAGTATGGCTGTAAAAACCAGTTAACAGCTAGGCTTGTGTGAATTATCATAAAAATTTCTCTAATTCAAAGAACAACCAAATGTACTGTATCTTGTCTTACATACTGTGTACTATTAGTTAAAGAATGGAAATATTTGTTAGTTTTTTTGCTAAATCTTACAAGGATTCATATATCTTATCTAGAGACTAGGCATTGTTTCTGCATGGAGTTACAATATTAATGTTTATGCTTTTATTTGTTTGGATGGACTTTTAGATTTCCAATACTTCTTCTCACATCTAGCTTTCCCAATTCACTGCTGGCCTCTCTATACAAATAATTTTGCTTGCCACTAGCTTTGAGGCTTCCACCTAATTTCATGTGTTTTCACACGATATTGCTACTACAATGGTGTCAGGTGCTTCTTTGTCTGTTAGGGGATGTGACAGACAATTTTGCAGCAGGTATGTTCATGCAACCTGGGTTTTTCTTCAGGTCTTGGCATGAACTTTTCTTGTCTTATAATTTTCATCCGTGAAGATGTGGATTTTAACCCTTTTGCAACAGTCAACAATGTTTAATCCAAAATACTATATTATTATGATGGAAGTCTCTTTTTCCTTTAAAAAATACAGAAAATTTAGTTACATTGTTACACAGGTAACTTAAAAAATTAACTGGTATCATACCATCACTGTAAAAATGAAACATTACTACAACTAGTGTATAGAAGTTAAACATTGATGTTACTTGCTAACCCTTTCACAATGGATGCCACTTTAAAAGCTTTTCTGCACAAGTCACTGTGTTACATTCAAATTTTAATTAAACATCTTTACTATCAATGTATTGGAATGAAATTAACATTATAATGTATGTAATGATTAAAAGTTTTATATTATCTAAGTTTTAAGTTCTTTATTTCAAAGAAACCTTTAAAAAGCTACTTAAAAATTCAGCTGTATTGTCATGTGACCAATGAGCTATTAAAATTCTCTACTTTGGCACTCTGTATCTTCAATGATACAATGGCAGTTGTGTAGATGTATGTCTAGACTGTAAGATGTTTACATAACCTTTTGACTTGTACATTTCAAAGTTCTCTGAATAAATGCAGTTGAAGTAATACATTTTTTTCAACCCCTGATAAGTTCCATGCCCACTTTCAACAGATTTGTTTGAGTTTTATAGCCTACATGTAGATGTCACATACACATGTGTATAGTCATTAGAAATAGCTCATTTTACACTATAATCTAACAGTGGTTATTTTGAAGTTGGGGTACTACTGACTGTAGTATTGTTGGCTGCTTGATCGACTATAGCACTTACAGTTATTTCCTAAATATTTTATTGTTAGAGATACAGTTTAAATTGTATTTAGATCTTACTTTTATGTATTAGTTATGTTTTAAAATGCATAATTGAAAGGTTTAAACATTTTTTAAATGTATGTCATACAAGGCTTATGATATTACGTGGTGCACATAAAGTTTGCCTGAGAGATACACCATAATATGCCTCGAAGGCATTGTTGATTTGTGTTGATATGAATAATAAATGGTAAAAGACAAGAAAGGAAAATAAAACATTAAAAATTAACTATATGTGAAAAGGAAAAGACCTGAAATTACAAATTTAACCAAAGGAAAATCTTTAAAGATATTGTACAATAAATTAGCATTTTTTTTTTTCAATTTCCTAATTTTAACTATTTCATTGCATTACATATTCATGATAATAGCTAGAGTTAGCGATATGGTAAAGAAAATGAAATATAAACAGTTACTTTAAAAAAACTTTTGATATTCATTTAGGAGGTTCTAGAGGTTATGCAAATGAAATGAACTTAAAATGAAAATCACCTTGCACTCGAACTATTTTAACAGTTCGAGTGCAAATAACTGCTACAGATAAATAAAATTTTTATTAGAAATATAATTAAAATAATGTCATTCTTTGTGTACAAAATACTTATCAACATTAACAAAATCTGACTAAAGGAATGCTCAGAGTTACCATATGTTTTTTGCATCAATGTCCTTCCCCAGTTGAAGCGATACAAACTGCAACAGCCTGAGGTGAAAGGATTAAGACATCTTTCCCAAGCTCCTTCTTTTCTAGTTGCTGTCTGTTGTCCTCCTGACTACTTTCCACTCCCTGTTCTTCCATCTTGTTCCTCTTCCATTCTTCCACAGTCTCATTGGTGACTATCTTCTGGGCTTAGGAACAGTGGGGGCTCATTTGGTTTGACTTGTGGATTATGAATTGCTTTTGAAGCTGACCATTGGAGGCTATAAGTTCTTTCCATTAGCTTTACCCTTCATGTTTCCTCACTTCTCCCTTTGTCTTCTGTTCATATTCCTTTTTTCCTCTGTGGGATCCTATCCCTCACATCATCTTTCTGAGGCAATGTCAGGATTTTTGGCTATGGATGCTATGAAAAGGTTTTCTCACCCTTTTTTAAATTTTATTTCCATCTGTTTGTAGTTCCCCAGTACATTGGAGATTGGTATCATGTCATTGTTTTGTTTCATCTCTGTCAGTTTCTTGATCTTCCTCAGTTATGAGTTTTCTTACCTTCCAATGATATTTTTATCTGGGGCATTAGGTCATCAAGGTCAATGTTTCTGATACTTATTTTCACATTCTCATCTCCCCACCATCCAGTCTTTAACTTTGGTCTGTACATCATGGTCAAGCTTATCACTTCTGAGCTCTTCCTTTGGGCCTGGCATTGGCTGCTTAAAATTTTTATTTCTTGTATAGTGCATGCCTTTGATTATCACATTCAAGACTTGAGAATGAGATTCCACCATTATATGGACGACTGGCTTCTTTTAGTTCCATCCCAACAGGACTCCTCCGACCATAATCTTCTTCTTCTTCTTCGGGAAGTGGTTCATCTAGGTTGGCTAGTCAAGCTGGAGAAGTCTCATCTCACACCTACCCATTGTCTGGTTCATTTGGGTGTATTCTTTACTTCCCATTTCAGCAGGGCACAGTCTTCTCTGCTGTGTTTGGGGGTCATGGAGTGTTTGGTTTCCACAACTCTATCCTCTCCTTTTCCTGCTTGAGAGGTTCTCTATCTTTTGGGGACTTGAGTTTCCTTGGAACCCCTTGGGTTGTGCTCACATGCATCTTTTACTGTGGACTCAACACAACCAATGGAACCTCTCTCAGGGTCTCTTTTTTGGAATGGTCTCTCAATCCTAGTGTTTTTCAATGGCTTTTCATCTCTTCCCTCAAGCCTTCCCTCCTCTTTCTCTTCTACTTTACTGCTCCCTTCTTCTTTAACCTAATGCTTATCTTTTCCATCTAGCCATTTCATCACTCTGGCTTTACTCGCAGGATTTTCCTTCTGTTTCCCAATTCTGTTCTTCGCATGGTTTTTTGACCAGGGCTGGTCTATCTCAACTATTGTTGGCTACTGGGCAGTTTTCTGGACTACTTTCTGATTTTTTTGTTATGCTGGGTTATGCTAGTGTACCTGACTGGGTCATTAATGTGGTTCTCCATGCCATTACTCCTACCTCTTTTTGAACCATTGGCTGTCTGTTCCTTACACCATCTGTCCCTTAAAAGTTATCTCTTTCTCTTCACCTGTGGTAATCAGTGTTCTGGTGTAAACACCATAGATTCGTTCACAATTTCTATTCCATCACTTCTGTATCCTTCTCTCTCCAGATTGCGCTTTTCTCCCTAAAACATCTGAGGCATGTAGGGTGATATTGCATTCACCCCTATATATCTTTCTTCCATTCTCATTTTAATTCCCATTCAGATCATAATCTCCTCTGCTGTTTATGTGGTCTGTTATTATTTAGCCTGCACTTCTTTCTTTTGTGGTTTCCAATCCCTTCTTTTCCTTCCGTGGATATCGTCGTCCAGTCGTGATCTTTCTCTTGTTACTCTTACTACATGGGTCCAACAGCTTATCTATTTAGTTTATGTTTATTTGTAATTAAGCACAAAGCTACACAATGGGCTATCTGTGCTCTGTCCACCATGGGTATCGAAACCCGGATTTTAGCATTGTAAGTCTGCAGACATACTGCTGTGCCACTGGTGGACATCTGTTTAGTATAGTCTTTGCTGGATAGAGAAACATGTTGGTGTTTCCAAGTGTCTGTCCATCAAATTTGTCACCTAAGTCACTCATTGGATGCTCACTTCCATTGTTTATTAGAGAAGATTGTTCAGGCTGGTATGTGGATGATCCCTCATACCTTTGTTGCACATTGTCTCTATGATCTGACCTTTTCTTTGTCATGGGGCTATGGCCTGATTCTGGTCATTATTCTTCACACATCATTTTGTGTCAGGCTGGGTAAGTCTTTCTTTTTTCTTACCCTCTTTTTACAGAGCCCTCTAGTCTCTTACAGGACCTCACTCAGTGGCAAGTTTTGCTTGCCAGGGTATACCTAACTAAAATCTAAACAGTGTAAGGCTGTCCTGGCCCGATATAGCACTCATCCATGAGACAGGGTGTTCCACAAAACTGCTTGAGGTATCCTTGTGGTGTTCATTTTCTTTAACAAGGCCCGATCCATACTGTACCCACTCATGGAATAACATAAGTAAAGGAGGTAGGGGATTCCAGCCCATCCTCCATGCCTAGTTCAATACCTAGTGCTGACTTGCTTTTATCAATAGGGTTTTCATGGTCACCCATTGCACTGTCTTATGGTGATGTGCTCCTGGATTCTCCACTGTACTTGCATCTCCCCTTTTTTCTTTTAGTGGAGCATGGGATTCCTTGCCATTCACCAATTTAAGACACTGGGGTGATGGACCATGGAGGATGCCTCCTGAGTGTGACCAATTCCAAGTAGAGTAGGGTGGTGGTGTTCTGTTTGTTTAGTACATTTCAAACCTCTGGCTGGCTTTCTCCCATCCTACTGCTATCGTGAATTTGAGTTCCTGGGTGGTCTGGTGTTGGATTGATGCAGAACCAGTTACTTTCCTGTTCTGACTCACTGAGCTTGAGGTGTAGATGATAGGAACTCTTGAACTGCAGTCCGGAAGCCAAATTCCTGGTGATGCCTGATTTTGGACTGGAGTTGACCCACTACATACGATCTGATGCATCCTAGCTACACTACTCATATAGCACCTCTGAAAGCCTAGTGCAAGTTCTGGACTGTGCTTGTATCTTCCACCTGTCCTTGCAATGTTTCTCTTCCTTTTCAGATGAAGAGTGTACCCTGGTACAGATTGAGTTGAGGTCTCCCACGAGTTTGCCTCTATACTGTTTCAAGGTATAGGGTGTCACACTTCATGGGTTATCTTTGGGCTCTTCCCCAAGGGGGCTCATCTAGGTAATATTTTGTACCAGTCTTTCCATCACTTCAACATGGGATTCTAGCTAGATGTGAGAAGAGATTACTTATCGTATGGGAAGTTAGCATTTTCCAATACTAAAAATACAAATAAATATTTAGTGTTGGAAAATGTTAACTTCCTACCCTTCTTCCCCACGTCTTGTGCATCTAATCTCAAAGTAATGATTGAACAATCAGTATAGAGGGAGCCAGCTGCACTAGAATCCATTACTGCACTACTAATGGTGGAGGGTAGTTATATGCTCATTTGTATGCAACAATGCAGCAATATCACATGGAAACATGTGAGATTAGTTGGGAGCCTTAAGGCTAATGGCAAGCAGAAGTTTTTGGGTGTAGAGGGCAGCATTTAATTGGGAAAGCTAGATTTGAGTGGAGATAAGTAAGTATCTATTGGAAATACATTTTCAGTATTGTAGAATGTTAACATTTGAGATTTGGGAAAATTATGAACATACCTTTTCTTAATACATCACCATTAACTTCTATCAGAGGAGCAGGAAAAAAACCCACTAACTCAGCAGCAGAAAATGCACTTAGAGAAACAGAAGCATCGGTTTTAGCAACATTTGACTTTCTCGCTTCCGAAAATATAGATATTGAAGATGATGAAGAAGAAAACTTGAGGTATGGCTGGTTCAGAAAATACAGTTTTTGTGATAAATACTTTCTGTGCATTGATATATATATATATATATTATTTAAGTTGAATTATTGAGTGTTAGATGAATTTAACAATGTAAGTTTAATACGATCCTCTTCCACTCGGCATTTTAAATGTAAAGCTACACATAATGTAGTCTGCCTTTTATTGAAGGAGCACTACCATAACACCAAAATGTTTCTGTGAGATAAATTGAATTTTGCTTTTTCATTCATAAAAAGAAATATTATTTTGTTTTCTGATGCTTAGAATGTCACATAATCTAAAAAGCTTTTAGATTAAAAAAACAGAAGTTTTATAAAAAGTCCAATTCATATCCAAATATGAAATATTGATGCTCTTTTATACTAGTCTTATACTTCTAGATTTAGAAATGCATTACTTCTAAGTGTTTTGTATCTTTTAAAAGTTAGTACTGATTTGTAATATCAAATCTATTATTATCTTAAGTCTTAATTTATCAAATCTCAGCATCATTTGTAAGTAAATAGCATTTGGGGATATCAAACAAAAAACATTTACTCAAAAATGACCACAGGTTTTTTTTTAGCTTTGAATTGAACTTAATGTAAGAAATTTTTAGATTGAGAAATATAAATAATATAAAAATACTAACTGGTATCTGAATATTAAGACTCAATCATGTATACTGTTCTAAGCTTGTGTTTCTGTTTCTAAATGTTTTCTATCTCGTTAAGGTTTTTATTAATTTACAAGGTAAAATTTCTTAATTGTTTAATATAAAAATATCAAATCTCAGCTTTATTTATAAGTAACCTTCTTTGGGAGAAAGTAAAATAAATCATCAAAGATGAAGACATTTGGGTAGTACGCCAAATTCTATCTAAATTTTCTTTTCAGTTGTTTTTATTGAATGTTGCATTTTAATTTTTAATTTAAACTTGTCTATATTATCTGGTATTTTTGAAAAAAAAACAAGAATGTTAAAACTCATTTACAAAAGATAAATTCCAGAGTAATCCTTGAATTACCTTTTCTTATCCTTTCTTTTTGTATTGAAAAGTAGGTCTAAGCAGTGGTGGGATTCAAATATTTTAACAATAGGTTCTCTCACTAGCAGCATGTAAAAATATTAGATATTAAAAAAAAGGAGGGGCCAGAAAGCCCCCCCCCCCCCCAT